AGGAGGAGGAGGAGAAGGAGGAGAAGGAGGAGAAGGAGGAGAAGAAGGAGAAGAAGGAGAAGAAGGAGAAGAAGGAGAAGAAAGGAGAGAATTTAAGGACCAAAACACTTGGCAAGAATTCCATTCTATTAGCCCGTTCAACACTGAAATCCAAACACAGGGAAAGGAATGCTTAAAAACAAAATGATCCAAATAGATGAAGGTTATTATGTTGCTCTCATGCCCATCCACCAAGGTCACACACCTCAGGACAATTCCACGTGCCTGGTCACCAGCACCAAGAGCACGCTGTACAGAGTGTGCCTGAACATGCCCCAACTCTGTGCAGAGCTGAGCACGACTCCGAAGAGGAGGAACCTACCAGCTTGTTCCAGACGTCCCCCTGCCGCTTGGCTCTCGAGGGAAAGACGATGCGCACCAGGAGGCAGGTCCAGGACAGGGCCAGCAGGGCGGCCGAGCCGCTGCTCTTACTACAGAGGGGAGGAGAGGCAGGCAAGAGGTGAGTGCAGAGCAGCCTCCATCTTAAGGACAAATGGCCACCACAAGGCCCTGCTAGGCATGTAGGATCCTCCCTTGATCTACAACTGGGCAGAGCTTGAAACCAGCTCCCCAGAAACCATCTGTGACAATTCAGGACAGAGTGCAGGCCTCCTCAGCCAAACGACCATCTTTTTGCACACACAACTATAAAACAAAAAGAAAAAGATGGTTTCCCCCATTCCCTGCCTGCTGGGCACCTGGTTTCCCCTCCTGCCAGCCTGGCTCCTCCCTCCATTCAGAAGGCAGACTGCCGGCACCATTCAGAGCTGCAAAGGAGAAAGGGACAGGCATGCTGACACCTGCTCAATGCAGCTCACCAGCACTAGATTCTCTCGAGTAGGACTCCATCAACCCCCTGTGGGCCACCAACTTTAAAACTTACCTGGGGACACCGGCCTTGGAGCCAATCCCTGAAGACTGCAGAGAGTGCAGAAGGTTCTTAGCAGTGGCTTCCGGCTGGGCCTCAGCCAACTGCTGGATGGCTGCCTGCAGGGCCCTGCGGGAGGCTGCATCTCTAGGGGAGGAATGAGGTGATGAGTGAGTATGTGG